CCCCGGCCCCGCGGGGGCCGCCCCACCGCCCCTCCCAGCACCCGTGTAGTCGCTGAGGCCTCCGGATCCCGTGGGGCTCCGACCGGCCAGCCACCTAAAGCTTCCCTCTTGCCCTTCAGCCTCATAATGTGAACCCCGTCACCACCTCCTCGGGGCCTCGTCGGTGTTCCTCAGCTGCGAGCTACTCATCTTTAGTTTCCTGTCTTCCCTTGGTTCTTACACTTTTTCCTCCCAAATGCTTAAGCATGTAGTCGTGTTCCTACACCTCTCGTCACGGGCTGCAGGTGAGGTTTAGTGACGTTGCCCTGTAAATGTAGGAACTCTTCAGTTAAGGTCCTCGACTTCAATCGAAGAATAAGAGTTTCTGGACAACTCACGATGGTAAGAAAACCTGGCAGAGCAGGCAAGCAGATATACAGACGAGAAACGGAAGGGCAAGGGCACAATCTAGCAGAGGGTGGGTGCTGGCACGGGGAGATGGACACACAGCTCCTTGGGCCGTTGGGGTATTTATGTGATAAAGACAGGGGTCTGGCTTCAAAGTTATGTAAAGATAGGTGCTCCCCCCTCCCATCACACCTGATGTTACTTTCTGAGTTTCCAGGTAAGAATGCACCCTGCCATAAAACATCCTTATCCAGGGGGTTGCCTAAGTTTGGAGGAAGCGTTTTTCTCAGGAAGACATACATCATGTTAGACAAGTGTTAATTCTTGGGGTGAGGAATGCATCCCTCGAGAAGGAGTTCATCCTGTGGTTCCTCTTCGAAGCAAAAAATGGCACTTCTGTGTTTCTAAATACCATATTTCTGAGTTACCTTCACCAGGCCTGTTTCCTTAGGTTATCCTGTTTCATTTTCATCTAAAGTGTATCCGTAGGGAAAATAGAAAAAATCTGAACAGTAAGTTTATTGCTCCCTATCTCAGATGTCAAATTCCTTATTAAGGCTTCTCTGTAGCCTGCACAATGGCTTTAAAAAGTTTTATGTTTTTGCTATCCTTCTTGCTTCTTTTACAGTCCCAGTTTTCTGTGATCGAGATTTTTAAATGACTGCCCCCAAGGGGAAATGCTAGTCTAACCCCAAGTGGTTTTCAGCAGATAGTAATGAATTGAAAGTGGGTTTGTGGCCTTGAGAGAGATGTTTTAAAGTTTTCATACATTGACAATTCCTACAAAATAGTTGATACTGGTGTAAATCGAAGTAACAGGTTTTTGCTTGTATATAGATACTGAGAGGAATAAATGCTTTCATTAGCTGTTTCCAATTCACTGCTAAGGGAGTTGGAGTTGAATGAGGGAGAAGTAGCAACTTACATAAAGAAAGTAATTTCATTCACAATATTAGTTAAATTTACCAAGTACCACTAAAATGTATACATTGTAACTTTATAACTACCTCATTGAAGTTTTCCAGTCCCAGACTCCCTGGAATTTCTCATGTCAGAGTTCAGTACCCCCAGGGTCTTCATTAAAAATTGTACACATGATGTTTCTCTTTTTAAATAGGGGCATCAGATGAGAGCCTGTCAGAAACTCAAAATGAAAATGTGCCTGAAGAAACATTGAAAGTTGGAAAGATTAAGAAAGTTAAACGTTCTGTAAATGTGAGTTTGTCAGAAGTACAAAATGGAGATATCTCAGAAGACACTGTGGAAAATGTAACACTTCAACCAAAAGAATCTAACACTTCAACCAAAGGAGAAGTCGAAGCAGCACAGTCTCCTAATACAGAATCAAAAAAGAAAAAAAGGAAAATGATGAATGATGCTGAGCCTGGTATGTACCTCATTCTCTTTGAACTTTAGCTCTTCCTTCACAGTTTTCATTCTACCTTCCCTCTATTACTGAATAGTGAGACCTACCTAGCCCTTTTTGTGTCAATGAATTTCACTTAACTGCACTTAATTCATTTACCTCTTTTACTTATCTGCTTTTTTCCTTCCATAATTCTACCCTTTTTAAAAGCAGACTTACTTGCAAAATATATAAAATGGCATATAGATCTGTAGGTGGTTTGTTCATGTGTATAATCATAGCTACTAAGTAAGATGAGATCTGAAGATCATTGTTGGAAGCCAGCCTGGGCAGGAAAATCCACGAGACTCTTAGCTCCAGTTAACCACCAGAAAGCCAGAAGTGGAACTGTGGCTCAAGTTGTAGAATCACAGCTTTGTGCAAAAAATGGAAGAGACCAGGCCTTTAGTTCAACTAAACTCTAGTACCAGGAAAAAATAATAATAATAGCATAGAAGAAGGTTTTGAAGAATCAATTTTAATTTATGCTGTAGTAGTATGGGCAGGATAATGAAGGAGGAGGAAGATTATTGAATTTAATAAACTAGTGATGGAATGGACTTTTTAATTGAGCTATGGCCAAGTAGAAATCTCCAAAGTAGGATAGGACAGGGGTCAGCAAACTATCTGGCCTTCCACCTGTTTTGTTTTGTGTTTAATTTGGCTTACATCATAGTGTGTTAGATTATGTTGTCTTTATTGCAACAGAAAGCATTTGAGAACTATGAGAGCTCAGATATTCATAACTTTTTATAAAAAGTTTACCCACCCAAATTAAAACATTCTGTTGATATATCTTACTTGAAGTAAGTCATTCATTTACAAAGTAGCTTTTGGCTGTTCCCAGATATGTTGGCTCTTCATGCTGCCTGCAAACTCAATTGTAACTAATAAGAAAACTGTTTAAATATAAGGTAAAATGAGATGGAAATTCATGAAGCTTAAGAATTAGTTTTGATGTGGTTATAATCTAAACTTCTAAAATTAATTGCTTTAAGAGTCTTGTTCTGAGTATGCCCAAGGAAGTCATACTCTTCAGTCACTAAGTCACAAAATCTGCATGCTTTTAAAACTGATAAGGAAAACAGAAGTCATAATCCAGGGACACCAATTGACCACACCATGGCTTTTGAATATGTCCATCTTAGAATCCTCATTTCTGTTCAGCCTTAGTGCCATAAATTTTTATGAAAGCCCAGCATGGTGGTAAACCCATATTAGAGAGCTATGGATGGTGGAGCTGGAACAACAGGTTGGGACCATGTGATGAATGTATGTGTGATAACAAGTGGGTTTTATAGAAAATTAATGGCACATGGCATGACTTATAAAAAGCCTTTTTAAATAAAATCTGGTAAGTGCCCTTTCCCTATGCTTTAATAAATCTTCATACATTGCTTAGTGCAACTTACAAGATTTTTGTTTGTTTTTGGTTCTAAAGATATTATACTTTTAGGAATCTTACTAAGTTTTGTTGGCAATTCTGTATAACCAAGATATTTTCTTGAAAAAGACTCCTTTTGGGGTGTGGGGAGGTCGTCAGTCATGGGGCTTGAACTCTGGGCCTGGGTGCTGTCCCTCAGCTCTTCAGCTCAAGGCTAGCGCTCTACCACTTGAGCCACAGCACCACTTC